TGGGACACGCTGAAGATCAGCCAGGCGCCGCAGGTGAGCATCAGCCGCAGCAAATCGTACCGCGAGAACGGGGCGCCCTTCGTGCCCCCGCCGCCCGCGCTGGACGAGTTGGGCGGCCCGGGGGGCGCCGCGCACCCGGACGAGCGCCTTGGTGCGGCTGGCGGCCCTGGTGGTGCCCAGGTGGCTGGTGGCGGCGCGGGCGCGGAGGAGGACGAGGAGGAGCTGCTGGAGGATGAGGAGGATGAGGATGAGGAAGAGGAGCTACTGGAGGACGACGAGGAGGAGCTGCTGGAGGACGACGCGCGCGCTCTACTCAAGGAGCCCCGACGCTGTGCCGTGGCCGCTGCCGGTGCCGTGGCCGCCGCCGCCGCCGTGGCCGCCGAGGGCGGGGAGCTGTCGCCCAAGGAGGAGCTGCTGCTTCACCCGGAGGACGCCGAGGGCAAGGACGGCGAGGACAGCGTGTGCCTGTCTGCGGGCAGCGACTCGGAAGAGGGGCTGTTGAAGCGCAAACAGCGGCGCTACCGCACCACGTTCACCAGCTACCAGCTGGAGGAACTGGAGCGAGCCTTCCAGAAGACGCACTACCCGGACGTCTTCACCAGGTACGCGTGCAGGGGACTCGAGGCGGGAGGGCGCTCACGGGCCCCAGAGGGGGCAGGACGGGCGGGCGGGCGGGCAGGCAGGGCTCTGGGCTTTGGGACCTCACTTCTGGACTCCGCAGGGCTCTCCCCCTAACACACCTGCTCCACTCACCCCCAGCCACCCATTCCCCCACCCCCCAGCACCACCCTTGGGCTTTATGTTTAAAAGGCTGAGGTGGTTCCTTTCCTCTTCAGGCCCTTTGAGGGTTTTTTGTTTTGTTTTGTTTTTTTTCCCCCCCAAATGATAAGTTTTATAGTTAGAGAGGGGGAAAAATGCCTGGGCTTCTCCATAGCGCCCCCGAACTCTTCATGTTGGAGAGTCGAGCAGACTCTCATGGCCTCGGGCGCTCAGGCAAGATCTCCCGCCTGCCTAGACCAGACTTAGCCAGGACAAAACCCGAGCTATTTTGGGCCACTGCGCTGTGCACTTGCCACCCCCTCCTGGTGCCCCAGGAGCCTGGCGGGTATCAGTTACGTGAAGCTGGAGCGGGTGCCTGAGTAGGAGGCCTTTCCTCCTGAAATACCCGGAGGAAGTCGGAGCTGGGCAGTGTTTAGTGTCCCCCTCTTGTCTCTGTCCTGCTCCTTCCCCCACTCTACACACACTTTGAACTCAGAGTGTATTTTATGTAACTAGGTTTACAGTAGCACTCAGTAACTCCTGGGAGTCTGGCCGGCAGTGGCTGAAGCAGCCGGGAACATTTTTCCCGGTGGATGGGTATCCAGGCCAGCGTTCGGGCCGGGTCACGCTCCATTTCCGCTCACCCCAGTTGTTCTGGGAGAGTTGTGATTGTAAAAGGCCTTCCTCTCCCACCCCAAGGTCAAAGCTGGGCTCAGGTCAGAAGCCAGGGTTAGGGCAAACGACCCCCCAGTGGGGAGGGAGAAAAGGATGGTGTTCGCAGGGCTCTGAGCTTGCTTGTCAAGCCCGGGCAGCTCTTTCGCCCGAGACGTGTGCAGCTTTTCAATGTGCGTTTAGAAACGGAAAGCTGCCCGCCCCCTTTGAACGGCAGGAGAACTCTCTACTAAAGGACCCAGAAAGGCCAAGCCAACTCCAAAGTGGAGTTGGTCTGGCAATTGCCAAAGTCTCTCCTAACCAAAAGCAGTGAAGAGAGGATTTAATGTAGGACTTGAAACATACACATCCCTTGATCCTCTTCTGTGTCATCCATTCCCTTTCTTATCTTTTTTTTTTTTTTTTTTTAAAAGCAAATTGAAAATCTGTGTGGTATCAAATAGTTAGTTGGCAGACTGGCTTTTTGCATTTATCACAAATGTGTATTTCAAAAGAACATAAGCTGATGTCAATTGGCATCCAAGTTCACCTTCTTTAGCTTTTTCCAGGGGAAGCAACATAAATGACGGACAGCCCCCCTTTCTCCATCCTGCTATCCATCACATTATGGGAGCCCAGGGACCAGGGACCTAGGCTCCAGCCCTGGGCAAGCTAGTTGGACCTTTCTAGAAGTGCCGAGGTTCTAGGAAGCAGGGGGCAACGCAAAAAGCAAACTGAACCCCTTTCCCTGGCCTGAAGTTTCAGGTGTGGACGGGGCCCCTGCCAGCAGCGCAGACCCGGGTCCCAAGTTTGGGCAGCCCCTATTCTCCCATATTAGCGAGGGGGAAGAGCCAATTATTCTCGGAGCGCTCATATTTTCGGTAAACAGGTCGTAAGCCGTTTTACAGCATCTTAATGGTTTCCTATTTGCCTTAATTGTCGCAGTAATAACTGCAATGACGGGGTAGGGTTTCAGCTAAATTGACTTCCCCTGAGATAGGCAGGGTTTGTAGTGGGCACTGGAGTCAGGAGGTGCGCAGAATTTTGTTTAATCGAAAAATTACCCCACTGAACTCTTAACAAGCTTAACATATCTCCAGAGGGTAATGGGGAGTGTGGCCTATGGGGGTGAGGGAGGGAGGAAGGCAGGCAGTTGAGGGGGTGGATGGAAGGAGGGCAGAGAGCTGAAAAGAAAGGGAGAGAAAGAGGGAGGGGTTTTAAAAAAAACATGCAGAAAGAAGCCAAGAGGGTGATTTTTTTTTTTTAATTGAGTGCTAATTTCTTCCCACATCTAATGTTAGGACAAAACAGGGTATAGGCTCTGTGTGTGTGTGTGTGTGTGTGTGTGTGTGTGTGTGTGTGTGGTTCTTCTGGTCTGACTCTAGCTAGGAGAGAGGGAGACTCCCAGTGTCCACTTTTGTCCACTTACAGACTCAACAAGCTACCCCTGCCCCACTTGAATATAATGAATATAAGATAGTATCCTGTATCTGGCAATGTGCAGTGTGTTCTCACTCAAACAGTAGACAATCCAGTGGCGAAGGGGTGATGAGGCCCATATTTGGGTTAGGGGCAGGGAGCCAAGGCGGGGAGACCCTAAAGGAGGAGGTCTGCCATTGAGGGGGAGGTGGCTCTGAGGGCTTGCTGGGGCCTGAGTTAACTTCCTGTCTGTGTGTTGCTTTCTTGTAGGGAGGAACTGGCCATGAGACTGGACTTGACTGAGGCCCGAGTCCAGGTGAGCTGCACTGCTGAGAGGGAAGGAAGTGAGGGGAAAAGAGGGAACTAGAAAAAGATAAGTGGTCGGGGTGGGGGATGCATAGGATTGAGACCCCTTCATAAAAATGCAGAGAAGCAGAATCAGAAAAATCGACCCAGGCACTCATACAAAAAGATATTAAAATATAAAGACTGCCTGGGGGTGGTTTAGAAGGTGGGAGGGGCCATTGTCTGGGTTTAGGAACCTGTGGAAGGAGTCCAGATCAGAATAGGGGTTTTAGGGTTCTGCGACTGCAGTTCAGGAGTCGCCACCCCTACCCCCCATCTCACTCCCTTGCCTCCTAGTCTCTATAGGAAACAATTTACAGACCAACTTCTCCCGGATTGAAATAATGGGATGGAGCATGGATTTGGTTGTTAGACAAATCCGCTCAGCTCCAAGCAGGTATTTGGCTGTGATTAAGTCTCCAATCGGGCTGCATAAAAGCCCACTTAGTGCTAGAACAAACAGGGCCATTTGAAGGCAAAATGCTGTTTGATTTCCCCTCCGCCCGCACAAGGAGCTGGCTAATGCTATTTGATTTCCCATTTTTTATAGCAATGAGCCCACATTGATCTAATAGGGAGTGAGTGCAATGCTATTAAAGGTGTTTGCAGCCCCATACCAGAGTGCATTTCCAAACCCAGGCCTCATAACCAAAGAGACGATCAACACTGGGCAGCCCCGATGGCCAACAGAAAACAGATGTCCCTGGGTTCGGAGCTGAGTGAATCACTTTACAGTCAAAATCAAGCGCTGATAAAGCACAATAAATTCCATATGGCTCATTTAATACACAACAGCTTCTTGCATTAGAGGGCTAATGATGAGGCCTGTCCCCTCCTTTCTGTTGACACATTTCTCCATTGTCAAACAGAGATGTGACAGCGACTCCACATTTTCAGCTCAGGGGAATGAGTCGTGGGAAAGTTAAATAACTTTTAAAAAGAAAGAGAGTGCCCCCCTCCCCTTCTCCTCTTCCCCTATTCACTGGAGAAGATGTAATTAAGGGAATATGAATTATTAGAGTCCTTTCGTTTACCTTTGGGGGGCCTTCGAGGTATTAATTCAATAATGAGGAATTGCAGGGGGACATCTTGATCATTGTAGTTGAGCTGGGAGAGGTGAGCCGTCTGTAAAAGGGTTCCATGTTCTTTAAGGGCATTCTGCCTTCACTGGCCCGGCTTCCACTTTTTTTCCCTCCTTTGACTGCCATCCAGGAGTGACGGCTGGCTATTCTCGTCTAGACAGATTTGGATACACAAAAGCTGCCCACCCAGCCCGGTCCCATCTCCTGCCTTACTTTTTCAAGCCTCACACTTTCTTTGCTGGCTTGTTTCTGCAATTCCCAAATTGCTAAGGAAGGTTACAGATGGTGGGCCACTTCTCAGAAGATTTTTTTTTTTTTAATCAGTTGCTCTGGAGTCTCGGTTTTTCTTGCAGATTAAAAAGTCAAACCAAGCTCAAATGCTAGTGCTGGTAACAATGACAACCTCTCCCCCCCTTGGACACTTGAAAAACACAGATACCTTTTTAAATTAATCTTTTTTTCCCTCCCAGATCATTTGCATTCTATTTTAATAGAACTCTGTACCGCCCTGGGGTTCATTCTTAATTTTTTAGACTTGTATGCAGGCATCAACCCAGTCCTAAAAATATTAATGCCTTCAAGGGAAAGGAGCATATATTCTCAGATGTGGGTGTGATGAGCAGGTCACATAAAAATAATTTCAGGCTCTTGGGGGGTTATTTTTAGAGATGGTGGCTGCCACATTTCAGGTAAAGGTCTCTACTAAAACTGCTTTCTATTAACAATTAGGAAGATACCTTGTGCTGAAAACCTCCCCCAAGCCGAGAACAAGCTTATTTAATGAACCTATTTAATCCTCATCCCCAAAAGGAAATTGAGAACCTGTTAGCTCTGAAGGTTTGAAAAGTCTACGGAATCCTGTACTCTGGTTTCTGGGTCCTGAGATGTATTGCTAGAAGCCTTGTCAGTGCTTTTCTCCCTAGATCAGGCCCTGCCAAGAGCTCCTGCTCCTTGTTTCAGTTCATGGAGAACACATCCCCTCAAATGTACGCTTGTTTACTAATTACTATGAGCATTTATTTCTTACTCCCTCTCATCCTTTAACAAACCCCATAACCCAGCATAATGCTTGGGAGATGTTCAAGAAATATTTCTGGAAAGAAGACATGAACCATCTCCCGGCTTCCCCTTTTGATGCAGAGGCGAGGATTTAGCTAGTTTGGGGGTAACCCTGAAAGAGATGACAATAGATGATCAGCATCCAGAAAGTGTCTTATCTCTTAGTGGCTGTCCATTCCAGTGAGTTGTCACTGAATGAGTGCATATTTCACTCATTCCTCATGACGGCTTTAGGAATAAAGTTTTATTCTTCCCATTTTACAGATTAGAAAACTGAGGTTCAAAGAGGTTTAAGTGACTCTATTAAAAGCTCCCAGCAAGCGAGCGGCAGCACAGACATATAAGCCTGGGTCCCTGTTCCTACGGATCCACTTTCTGGAAATAGATAAAGGAACGGGGCTAGTTGGAATACCCACTGACAAGGGTTTGCTTTTCCACTGTTTCCTTGCTGACTTTAAGTGCGGGTTCCTTTCTACTGCCTGTTTGGCCACAGAGCTGTCCAAAAACTACCGGAGGTCAGAGAGGGGCAAGGCGGGCACAGACAGAAGCGGAAAGGAGGGAGGAGCCGAAGCTGGTGTGTCACGGGAAGGAGAGGGGAGGCCGGGGCCGGAGCCGTGCGGACCGACCGCGGGCTCTCACCCCCTTGCAGGTCTGGTTCCAGAACCGCCGGGCCAAGTGGCGCAAGCGGGAGAAGGCGGGCGCGCAGACACACCCACCGGGGCTGCCTTTCCCTGGGCCACTCTCGGCTACCCATCCACTCAGCCCCTACTTGGATGCCACCCCGTTTCCCCCGCACCACCCTGCGCTCGACTCGGCCTGGACGGCCGCTGCTGCAGCCGCTGCCGCTGCCTTCCCGAGCCTACCTCCGCCTCCAGGTTCGGCCAGCCTGCCACCCAGCGGGGCTCCGCTGGGCCTGAGCACTTTCCTCGGAGCCGCCGTGTTCCGGCACCCAGCCTTCATCAGCCCGGCGTTTGGCAGGTAATGTGCGGCCAAGGCGAGTCTGTCTGTCTCTTTTTCATGCACACAGAGCTGGGGTCAGGGAGGAGGCAGGAGACAGGCAGTGGCTACATCCATCCTTTCTCTTTGGCCCAACGTCAGAAAGTTAGCCAAAGAAAATATTCTCTAACTTTGTCTCCAAAAATGTGGGTCTTGAAGGGAATGAAATGACTTGGGACTGAGCAGGAATGGGGAGGGCGGTGGTTAACAACCACCTCGGAGTGTTCAATGACAGCTGTCAAAGTCCCACTTCTTTGCAGTCACAGCCCCTCACCATAGGTGGTCTTCGTGACGATGTGTACAGGTTGAAGGCACAGAGCAGGGATGACTTTCCAAGTTTTGCAAGAATCCTTTCTCTTGCTCTAAAACCTGGCAGCCTGAGGAACCCAGCCCTGATCCCCACAGGAGCCCTGTCGTCACAGGGCCCTCTGGGAGCACCAAATTCTTTCTTCTTCTCTAGACTATATCTTCCTTGTCACTCAAGTGACCTGCTGCCAAGGATACCCCCATATGTGCAACCCCCGATCCCAAGAGCGGAACAAGACAACTAAATAAAAGAAACTGTTCATCGTATATTATAACTCCCTTTCTTTAAATGAATATCGAATGATGAAATAAAAAGTCTGTATAAGCACACAGACAAAGAAACAATGGAGAGATGTATTAAGTTGGAAAGTGCAGTGAAAATAAAACTGAATAACAGCTTCAATGATCTCTCTTTGGGAGAACAAAGAAATAATAGATTCATCCAACTGCGCAGCCACTTAACAAAAATCATCTTAGAGAAAATTAAAGAAAGAACGAGACTCGAAGAAAAATTAGTATTTTATTGCAAGCCAATAAACACCAAGCACATCGAAGTGTAGTTAGTGACTCAGTTTACCTAATGGAATTTAGAACCGTTACGCCCCCGCCGGGCCACCTTTATTATTTCTCCAGGGTGGAGGTAGAGGGGTAAATGCCTCCCTCACCCTCCTCACTTATCCTTTCTGAGGACAAGTGAATTGTAAAGGCCGGCGCACAGTTGGAGTACTGGGCTGTGAGATTCGGAAAGGCATGAAGAGGGGTGGCGGGTGGCCTTGGGGAAGAGCGGCAGGTACTCTTTGAGCCTAGGCGGGGACCTGGAGCCAGAATCTGCGGAGAGGCAGGAAAGGCGCTTGTTGGCGGCCGGAGGTGGGGCTGTGGAGAGGGGTTGGAGGAGTAACCCGGGGTGGCTCCGTTCTCCACTTCGCAGGCCCGCGGTGTGGTGCCAGGGAAGGCGGGGGGTCGCCGCGTGGCGCAGTCCCGGCGGCGGCGCCCAGAGGCTACGGCGCGGGTCCCCGGCTCGGCTCCGCAGCCTAGTGAGCGGGGAGTCGCCGGTCCGGGGGCTCTCTGGGTGAGGAAGCCGCAGGGGAACAGAGAAGGCGGCTGAGAAGTGCCATCGCCGCACCTGGACACGGGGGCTGTCGGCAGGGCTGAGACAACCGCCCAACGGAAATCGACTGGCGCCTCCGGCCCTCCAACCGCGGCCGCGCTCTTTGGCCAATAGGAGAGCCAAGGGGCGGCTTTTCTAGGGTCTAGGGCCACTGGAAGCCAGGACCAAGAAGGAGCCTGGGAGAGGGTTCCAAGTCTGCCGCACACGTCTTGGGCTGATGTCATTCCACTTTCAACCTTTCTCTCTCTCTTTTTTTTTTCTTTGTCTCTCCATCTTCTCTCCTGGCCAATGGCATTTCGGGCACTCGGAGCCCCTGGCCTTGGCATTCACCCCTTTTTGAGCGAAATCACAGAATCTGCGCCATAGGGCCTTTTAGATTTGCGCGCGGGGCCTGGCAGCAGCCTGGGCTCCAGCTCCTCTGGACAGATTTGGCCGGCGGTCTTGTTTTCCGACCGTCCTCTGCCCGGGTGAAGCCCTCTCGGCGCGCCCAGCTTCACATCCTCGCTTCGACTGCGCCTTGGTCCACAGCCTCCCGGGGCCTGGTGGCCGCGCGCCGGCGGACGCCCCATCTGCGCTTCCCGCGCCCCTGGGGAGAGGCAGCGGCTCCTGCGGAGCCACTCTCCGCTCTGAGGCCGGCTATGACCGCGCTGTTTGCTCTCCCCGCAGGCTCTTTTCCACCATGGCCCCCCTGACCAGCGCGTCGACCGCCGCCGCGCTCCTGAGACAGCCCACGCCGGCCGTGGAAGGCGCGGTGGCGTCGGGCGCGTTGGCCGACCCGGCCACGGCGGCTGCAGACAGACGCGCCTCCAGCATAGCCGCGCTGCGGCTCAAGGCCAAGGAGCACGCCGCGCAGCTCACGCAGCTCAACATCCTGCCGGGCACCAGCACGGGCAAGGAGGTGTGCTAAATGCCGCTCTCTGCCCCGCGCCCCGGGCGCGCCCCGAAAGGTCACCTCACTCAGCACCACTCAAGACCAAATTGAAAACAGAGGACCAGCACACTCCCGAGAAGGCACTGAGAGCTAGCGCAGCCGCCTTCGACGCAGCAGCCTGGACGCGGGCAGAGGCAGCCGTTTTTGGCGCTACCAGACGTGCCCCTCCTCGGCTGGCCGTCCACCTGCCCCTGCCCCTGTCCCCGCCACTGCCAACCTTGCTCCCAAACTCGAACGTCCACTCTCACCCGCTCTCACTTTACTGCAGAAATTAGGGAGATTTTTCTCTCCTAAACGCTTGAGATTGAAGTTAATTTTTTTCTTATTTTAAAGCTCAACCTTTCTCTTCCTCCTTCACCACTCCCCTTCCCTCTTAAGCTTTTAAAAAAAATTTTTTTAAATTAGCATTTTGGCGCTCTGGTGGATCTCCCCAGCGTGGGCCCCGGCGCGCAGCCCAGGCCAGGGAAGCGAATTGGGAGCCTGTAAGAAAGCTAACAGTGCACTTAAAGGAAAGGGGCGTCTGTTCTTCTTCTCTTCTTTATCATACACCAACCAAGGTTTTTATATCAAACCAAAGGGAAATACACTGCTAGAATATGGACTGTTGAAGTCACCAAACTGTGATTATTGATTCTGTACATACCATTGTTATTAAAAAAAAAGAAAAAAAAAGAACAGAGCTTTGTATATTTGAAATGCTATAAGGGCAATTGCACTCAGCGTGGTATGGTAAAAGTTTGTCCTCATGTAGATTCTTACTGTGTTGTAGATACGGTAGGGTTCCTAGACAAATATTTATGTACTCAAGTCCTTTACTTAACTTATTAACTGTAGAGGCTTCTGAAACCTTCCAGATAAAGGCAATGGTACAGTACTTCTGTGTAATGTGTACTTGTTATCACTTTTCCTTGCTATCTAGTGGAGAAGTGTCACGCTCAAAATAAAAAAAACACAAAAATCTATGTTTAACAAAAGGCAGTGTGAATGCTCCCTGCAGGCGCAGAGGGAACGGTGGAGGGACGGGGTGTGTATGTAGGGGGAGGGGGAATGAGCTCAGGGCGGCCTGGAACCTCCGGGTTCGTCTGCTGGCCGGTTTTCTTGGCTGAGTCCCCAGATTGAAGTCCGATTCTCCAAAGGGTCCGGGCCTCCTCCAAAGGGTCAGGAGGAACTTTCCACGCACATCTCGGCTCCTCACGGTCGGGTAGCAGCGGGAGCTAGGGCTCCTGGGCCTAGAAGGTGGATGGATAGACGTAGTAGATGGTGGAGTTAGAGATTTGAAGCGAAGGGGAGTCTTGACTAGGAAGGCGAAGGAAGCTGGGGAAAGTGCCACGTAGCAAGGAAGTGCGCAGTCCGAGATGACAGGTAATGTGGCGAGAGCGACAAGGCGATGCTCACTTCCGAGGGGGCGGGCTTCACGGTACACTCATGGGGAGGAGGGAGGATGTGTGTGTGTGTGTGTGTATGTGTGTGTGTGAGAGAGAGAGAGAGAGAGAGAACAACGTAGGAACAGTGATGGAAAGGCAGCGAGGGGTATCCAAATGGCAGATCTTAACTCGACAAATGTCATTACATCACTTATCCAGGCATTGGGAAACGTATACATTAAAAAAAAAAAAACTAAACAACTCAGGCTTCCCGTAAGACCCAAACTGATTCGTAATTTGTATCCCCCCTCTCAGCGCACCCCGCCCCGGCGGGAAGCGGTCACTTCACCCTCCTCCGGCCTGCCTGCGCCCCTCGCGGTGACCGCTCCAAGGAAGCCCGCCCGCGGGGACTGGGTCTCGCCAACGCTCCCAGGGTGATGGGAAAGGGAAGAGAAGCTTAATTAGTTTCAATTTGCAGTAATTAGCGCGCCGGACCTTTGGGGACAGGGGCAAGAGGGGCGGAGGGGGTGGGGGGGAGCGCTTCAGCTTGACTGCCTCGCCAGTCCGAAAGGGTGACAGCGGCCACGCCACGCCGCCGGCCAGTCCGGAGCCGCGGGGGGCTCGGGAGCGTCAGGGACCCGGCGGGGCCTGCTTTATGTGTGGACGCTGGTCTCCACATAGAAGTAGCGCCAGTGCGGCGCGGCCGAGGCAAGGTGCAGGGGCAACGTTGTGCCCATCGGCCCAGAGCTCTGGAGCATCCTCTGCCCGCCACACCCCTCAGAGCGCGTTCCCGCGGGCCGCTGCTTGGATCGTGGCCGTAGGGTGGGTCACCACTCAAGTTAGGTCCTTGACGTTCGAGGGCGGCGCTTATAAGTTGAGGCCAGGCCTGGGGCCGAGGACCAGGTTGACAACTACCTTTCCCGGCCCATCCCAGGACACACTCCTGTGGGTTTTGCAGGCTTTTAGGAACCTCTAGTTTCTAGGCTATGGCTCAGGGCTATTCCCATCCCTCAGACTCCACAGGGCCTCCCTGGGCGAAGGCCGCTTTCGTGGAGTTGGCAGGGACGCTCAGGAGTTTGGGGAGGGTACAGGCCATGCAGCAGGAGCGTGAGGTGAAGGATTTTTTTTTTTTTTTGGTGGTCAATATCAATTTTCCGTCGATTTTGGCTTTTTGTTTAGATAGGGCTTTTTTCCTTCAGGCTGCCAGTTGGATGGTATACGAGAAACAGTACCATTCTTCCTGTTAATGAACTCTTTTTTAAGTCATTTTTTCTCATTTGACCCTTCCATGGAGCAGAATCAAATTGCGTGAAATTACCTCCAAGGATTACATTTATTACTGGCCAATGAGAGCCCCTCGCCTTGTTTTACAAACTCTTAATCCTATGTCATTCTGATGCCGCAAACAAGCCTGGTCCTGGGCCTCCTATTCTTTCAACTTTCCCCAGCTGGAGGGACCTCATTCGGCACTTAATATTCCCCATAAATATCACACGCTAAAGACCCCCTGACTTCCAGCAAGTCCACATTAAACATGTGACATGTCACGCATGACAAACTCTGAGTATCTTTTCAAAGCAGCATTAAAAGCAAAGAAACCAATTTTCTTCTCCTTCCAAACCTCCCCAAGTGCTGAATGATGGGGATTGGAAAGAGCCACTGGAGCGTACTTAGGGGGATTTTATGAGATTTTCCAGAATGATTTAATCTTATTGTGAGCATTATTAATGAATGGCAACCCAATTTGGCCCCAATATCTGGGAACATGGTCACAATGCTGGGAGCTACTGCCCCCCCCCCAACCTTAAGCAAACCTCCTCCACGATGGAGGACATGTGCAGCCTGGGGGAGTTCGGAAAAGTCCAGCTCAAAACATGGCTGTCTCCTATCACAGATCACACACTGCCTGCTCTCCCAGGGCCACCCTATAGCATTTTAGGGTGAGGGTCCTGGAAGCCCAATGGGGAGGCTAAGGGGAATGGGTAAACTAATCTGCTACATTTTCAGATAAATTAGCCTGACGAAAAAAACAGGTACAGTTGGCAAAGTATTATTGGGAGGCACCCTAAATGTTCTCCAGTCACCAGCTCCCCAAGGCCTGGCCTGTTGACCTGTAGTTAGGGTGCACATCTTGGGTGCATGGTAAAGCTGGAAGAAAGTAGAGGAACCAGGGAAAATAACCATTGAAGAGAAGGCTTACTACACCTCAGGACTGGAAACTTAGACCTGAGTCAAAGCCAAAAGCATGGGCTCCAACTAGTTGCCCTGTCCCATTCGCCTTCTATTATTCCTTCTTTCCTCACTGGGGCAAACATTTTATTTCTAATACTGAGAGAAATAGCACATGTAGCTGTCTTTTTAGCATCATTTGGAGTGTAGCGATCTTACTAGAATGGAAAATGGGGGACTGATGTTAAAGGAAATTATACATGGGTTAGCCCTGCTTGCTTTTAGAGAAAAATGTGCATGTGAGCATGTGTATGTATATATGTATTGACAAAAGTGAGTGTGACTGAATGAAGCCAGTCTGCAGTGGGCCTTGAAATGGTACGCCCCCAGCAAGTACATATTTAACTGACAGTGGTCGCTTGACTGAGGGGGAGGGGGAGGAGAGGCAGGGGCAGGGAGGAAAAACTTTACTACTTGAAGAGGGGGGAAAAGCATTTTTCAAAGGAAAAAAGTCTTGTTGTCCCTGGACGTTATTAATGGTCCAGTTTGAAGTATACATTTTTTTTTCCCCTTAAAGAAAAGGGAGCGATTACCAGTTATACATTAAGAAATGTCATTCAGTCATTTTTATTCATTCTCCGGAAATCTTCGTAAAAGCCTGAATCATACTTCTACAAGCAGCAATTTTGTTAATCCAGGGGGTTATTACTCTGGGCCCTTATTAGGTTCTACACCACTGCCAAGCAATCCTATAACTCTCTCAAAAGAAGTTTACCTCCCTGTTATAAAACCAGTAGTGGTATTTATACTGTGCAATAATTAGTGTATTACTTGAATCCACTAACACGCTCATTTTATCTCTGCACAAAACCTCTAGTCTGCTTATAGAAAGCTTGTGCCTCCTTTGGTGCTGTTAAAGTGGTGAAAGAGGGAATTGAAGGCTGGTTGCACTTTCTCCTTTTGCCTCGCCTTAATTCCCATCTCTTTTTGCTCTCATCCAATTAGCACAGTGTATTAAGCGGTTTATCATCTCATAGTCAGCTATTGAGAGAAACAAGGCGAGCACTTTGCAATAGAACCTGCGCTCCTTTGACACCCTCAGGTACTTACATATTCCACTGCGCTATGAATAATAGAGGAAGAATGGAGCGCTAATTCCCTCATCAAAGAATGCCTTGTCTGCTGCTTTGCTCAACAACACCATTCTGATCAAAAGAAAAGCAATAAAGCTTAGCATAACAAAACGAAACCTACTTATTAGCTTAGTGGTTAAATTAATGCAGAGCCGCTGCTATTCAAAACCAAGGTTTGAAAACAGCCTCCAACAACCTGATAATGCTGCCTTCGGGATGAAGGAATTTTAATCGGAAATTTGAGGCTGGCTCAGATGAGTTAATCTATTAAACTGCTATAAGGAAGCTCCACCACAAACCGTTCAATTAAGAAATATTTAGGTGAGCAGCCCAAGAGAGAGGGGAAAAGAGGAGAGAGAGAGAAAGGCGGCTTCAAATTCAAGGGTCAGGGGCTTGGCTTGTTTTTCATAAAATCCTGACCCAGATAGGGCAAGCTGTTGGGGGAGTTCCCTTGCCTTTGCATCTTGCATCAAACAAATTTTAAATTTGTTTGCCAAAGTGTGTCAGGTCTGGCTGTGTGCTGGTGATGAGAGGTGACTAGAAGGGGTGGAGGTGAGGGGCAGGGTGTTCATCCAAACTTTTCATCATCTTTTCCTGAACTCTGATTAGCCCCCACATTTTGGGCAACTGAGAGATGAACTCCATCTGTTTTCTGGATAAATTAAAATCTTAAGGAGCCTGCTTGTGGTCAGGTTTTCAACTTCTGGCCTTTTAAATAGAAGAGGAAGAGTTGAGGTGAGGGCTTAGCAATTGTGTCCAAGATAAATGTATGTTTTGCTTACTGAGTTAAACAGAACAGGTATGTGTTAAGGGGCTTGGAGAAGAGCAGGGTTTCTTTTGGGGGCCTGGGGAATGTCTAACCTAGAGATTTTCATCTGGCTCACAGTGTTGAAAATTTAATTTAAAAAATTACCTGCCAAAGTTTAGAAATCAAGAAACCTTAAGGAATATCAGGATTCCTGGCATCTGTTGAAAAGTGGGATTTGGGGCTGTACTGGGTTCCATCCCTCCTGGAGTCACCTGCTGTCTGTCACCTTTAGACAGGACCTGCATGTCCCTGTTCCCCACAATTCCTGTCACTCTCAAGTGTGCTTCATTCATTCACAGTTAGCACTGGGACTTAAAGCTAGGCCTGGGAGCCTGTGGACACACCTGAGTGGGCTTCTTCCTTACAAAGAACTGGGCAGCATTTCCACATCTGTTCTACCCAATCCACGAGTAGAAAACCTTCTCAGAAAAGTGACTGATGTTCCAATTTCCCAACAGAGATCTACTGGAATTTCAACTTTCTGTAAAATTCTAGAATCTTTAGGTGCCTCCCAGACCCAAACCTTTGAACTCACCTGAAGTTACACATTTGAATAAGAAAATATCAGCCAAATGCTTCATTAGCTCTTTTAGAGGACTGTACTAAGTAAGAATTGTCTGAATGGATTTCAATCAAAATGGCTCCTGCCCTCAAGGTGATTACAATTTTGATACAGAGGTAAGAAACAAGCTCTGTGAGAAGTCATTTGAGTCTCCTGATGTCCAAGTTCAGGAACATTCTCCATTTATATTTCATTTAATCCCAGACATCAAGACAAACATGCCTTCCCCTCAGAAAGCAAAGTGGGGCTAGGCTCTGGAAGCACAATGAGAGAACCATCTGTGCAGCCTGTGTGAAACAATCATTCGAAACCACACGAATCCCTCCAGGTTCCGGAAGCAACTTGGGGCGCTGCACCTTTTGACAGGGCCACAGAGCCTGAAGTAGCAAGGTATTGATTAATTAATTAGCAGGGCCCTAAGAGTGGAGTCCCGGTGTGGTGCAAGGTCGGTGGTTCAAGCTCACCAGTCGCTCCTTGGAAACCCTATACAGGGTCGCTATGGGTCAGAACTGACTCAACGGCACTTCACAACAACAACCAACCTAAGAGTAGGAGAAAGAAGGAATGGAGGAGACCTTAGATGGGAGAGGGTAAGGGAAAGAGAAGCTGGCCAAGGGAGATAAAACGGAGCTTCGTTTCCATTGCTTTAACAAATACTCCTGCGCTGTGGTCAGTGCTAGGTGACCTTTCTCTCTGGCTACCTTTCTCCTAGGAGTCATTACCTGGCTTTTCAAAAAGAGACACCACTGGGCTCTTGGCTCACACCTTTACACTGCTGTCCAAGTCAGCAAAGCACATAAGAAACCAGGCTTCATTTCAGAAAGGCCCCAGAGCCTGCAGAAATGCTCTGGAACACTATTCAGAGCGTTAGGATGTAAATCACACGGAGCATCTCGGAGGTGGACTTTCAAACCGGGCGGTTAAGAGACACTGGACTGAGGTTTAGGCAGGGGATGGCCTTTTTTCACATTTTACTCCTTGCTGTCACCTCTAGTCAACTCTTTGTACCTAAGAAGGATTCACTGCAACTGTTTTCCCTTCAGACAACTTTATTCCTCAGTAAAAAGCACAGCATACTTTTCTTTTGTTAAAAACACATAGGTAAAGGTTTAAAAAATAGAGCATGGTTGTACAAGAGGAAATACATTTTGTTAGGATAGTCTTACCAATAACTTAAGAAAGGAAAGAATGTGATACTGAAATACACTTTGCTTCTAGCAAAGAGAATGCCATTCTGAAGAAAAAAAAAAAAACAAACCAAACAGCACCAGGGTCGATTAAGTAGCCCCTCCCCAGTTTTCTGTATACATCAGAGATACTGTGAGCCCCACCTCAACCTCTGTACATTTGAAATGAACTGCTACAATATGAAATTATTTAAAGTGTGTTTTTCTATTATATAAACCTTAACCTCAAGTTTCTACTTAAGAAAAAAAAAGGTGGGGAAGATTCAAGTGTCAAACATCTGTTCTGTTGTGTGTGTGTGTGTGTGTGTGTACTGGACTTTGGAGCAATTCAATAAACAAGGAGTTCTGTTTAATCTATTTAGTAAGTACAAGACTTCTAAGTTTCTCCCTCCACTTACACAAGAGTAAGTGGCTGAGGGAGGCACGTGGGTTTATACTGGGTTTAATGGGCATGTGAAAAGGCAACCTTAGGCTCCACTCACCTGTTTCTGCAAGTATCTCTGCTAAATACCCTAGATCTAAGTCTGGGGTCACTGACATCATTCCAGGGACTCTCAAAGTAGACCCGTAATCTGAAGAAATTAGGTCTCTCAGTAATTTGGAAAGGACTATATTTAAAAGTGGTACACTGTAAATATGAAAACTATTTTGACTTCCCCTGATTCTCAGTACTTTAAATATCTTTGCAACCCCCCTTCTGTTGTCCCTCCTACCAAGCCACATCCACACTGACAAGAGACATAGTCCCAAGGGAAAAGCAGATGTGGGACAAGCAGTGAGGACCACAGTGGCTTGTAGGATTTCCTTAGGGTTTCATGGCACAATTAGCGAAGAGCTTGCTGAGGTTCACTTCCGAGTAGCCACTTCGGGATAGAAACTGCTCTGCTGTGTTCTTGAGTTTTTTGTAGTCCTGTTTCACTTTGGCAATTAAATACTTCAATTTCTCTAAAAAGAAAGAAAGGAAAAATAAAACATTAAAAGTCTAAGAGATAACTTGAAAGGCAATGAATGATGTCTTTTTCCAGCATAAGAGAAGGGGCCATGGATTCTCTTTGCAGCTCTGTGTTTCAGATGTCCTCTACTTCCTGGGGCTTACCCTGGTGCTGGGGACCTTGAGACACACCTCTGTCCCCTGGCAGAAGCCTTTCTTCCTCTTTCCTACCTGTCAGTTCTCAGACACCTAGTTGACTCAGCACCCCAGGGGACAGGGCCACCACTGATGTCAAACGCAGGTGCACAACCATGTGCAGCCAGCCAGGTGAAGTCCCCTTACAGACATCACTTTCTAGGCGCGTTCTCGCATGTGCATGCAATTTCATGTGGAGCGTGACTATGGCAGGAAACACCCTAGCTCCTCCTGGCCAATGCTCTCCAGATGAGCAGGGCCCAGCCAGCTTTTTCCAGTCCCTCCCACTGGCTTTTTGAGGCGGAAACTAAACTTCCTTTGCTGAAGGTAGGTAGGGGTGGGCTGAGAGGAGAGTCCCAACTCACTGGTCAGGTTTCTTTTTGCTTCTTGGTCCACACTGTGAACCTCTGAACTCAGGGCACACAGTGACTGGAGATGCCAGCCAGGAAGACGGTCCCTCCTAGGGTTCCCTCCTCAGAGCTGGTACTATAGTGACACTTTTCTTTTCTTTTCTCTTTTTGAAAGGAGCAGGAGGACTGTGGCATGCAGGTCTGATCTTTTGGAGAAAAAGATGATCCCTGGGTGAGCTAACCCTGCCCAGTATGGTTAAGATGACATGATTTTTACTCAAAGTTTCTGAGGAACCCTCTGAGGTGGGTTTAGAAAGCCCCTCACCCCACTTTTAGGGCTGAGGAAACAGGGAGGCTCAACTACTTGCCTGACCTCACCTAGCTAGTAACCAGAGGTGTAGAAATGCAAACCCAGAGAGCCTGAGCCCCAAGTCCACTCTGAAGTTCAAGGCCCCCCCTTTCTGTCCTGTGCCTCTGCTCCCACAGAGAGTTTGGCAGATAGGTCCCCAGAAATCCGTCTTCCTGAGGTAAGGGTCTGTGCCAAGGTGCCTGGGATGGGGTTGGGGGAAAGGGGCAGGAAGGATTTGGGACGAAAACACAGGAGAGAGTATATAGGGAGAAGCCCCATCAATCACAAGCAAAGCCACACTGTAGCAACAGAGCAACATCTCAGCCCACAACAAAACACCCGCAAAACCAACACTCAGTTTCAAAACTTTTGTTCCTTAGCTACACATTATCATTTGTTCTCTGCTACCTTTTCTCAATTACATCAATTGCCTATCCAAAACCAACAAACGAAGTTTTGTTGCAAGGATTTCAATGCCCAAAGGGGAGGGTGTGAGAGGAGAGAGAGGGGCTCATGGTGAACGGATTAGAGAAAGCCAATTTGAAAGTTTTAATTGTCAAAAGTCTGGGAATAAACAATGGTGGCCCCAACCAGTGTGTCTTCTCCCCGCAGGCCAGAGCAGCAGGCCCCAACGCCTTGCAAGTGAATAACGCAAATGCATCTGACAACTGGGGAGAGCGCATTTCAAGAGCGGTGGTGAGCCAGAGCAGGGAGGAAGACAGAGGACACAGTTCCTGATGTGTTTACCTCCTCTGCTGATGGGATATTGACTTTTCCCACCAGGTTGGTTAGAAAGGGGACTATTTACGCTGCCACACAGCAGAGTTAGAATGACAACCAGCGTCACTCAGTGCTCTTCTCCGTAAAAGACAACTGTGGCCACCAGCATATCCCATAGCCGGTCAATACGGCCAAGGCACCATTCCATGCAAGTTGGAGATGCAGATAAAAGTGCACACTTGCTTCCCCAGTGAGAGCGGAATCAATAACAGATGGAAGGTCTTCTAGGAAGCAGCTCGGGACCAGCTGTCACAGGCCGTGTGGGGGGCGGGGGCCTCGGGGGACAGGAGTCCTCCCTTCCTTCTGGTTTTTCTCTTCCCCTCTTTAGGCACCTAGAGTACCCATATCAAACCGTTACCCTCTTTTCTTCAATACTACACCCACCAGTTTAGAAAAGTCCAAGCAAAATACAGGTGTTAAAATACGGTGGTCACCTCCTGGCTTTGCTCTGGTTTGGGGTGGCAGATGATAAAGATTCTGTCACCACAGGAGCAGCAGAGCAAACACTCATGGGGTACAAGAGCCGCCCCCACAAGCCACCAGGTCAGAGGCAGCACATTGCTGCCTCAGCCACCAAACCAGAGAACCCAATCGGGGCATTGAGTCGCTGCCAACTCATAGCCACCTGACAGAGGGTTGCTGAGGTTGTCAATCTTTCTCCTGCAGAGCAGCTGGTGGCTTTGAACTGCCAACGTTGTGGTTAGCGGCCCAACACTCTGGTAGCATACTGGTTATGAGTTGGGCTGCTGACCTCAAGGTCAGCTGTTCGAAACTACCAGCTGTTCCACGGGAGAAGGATGAGGCTTTCTGCTCCCGTAAAGACTTACAGCCTGGGAAACCCTATGCAGGGTTGCTATGAATCGGAACCGACTCCATGGCACATCACCACCACCACAAAAGAATTCTGACTTCACAGACACAATCACCCATCTTAACACAGCAGCAAAGGGAATCTACTTTTCCTGGGAATAATAACTGAAGAATAGATGAGGGGGCTTCAAAAAGTTTATCAGAAAAAAGAATAAAAAGATAATGGAATTTTTGCATGACCTTCTTTAAGCCCTCTTGTATATCTGAAGCTTATCTACTCTCGTCTTTAATGTTATACACGGATTAACAAAACTATTCTGCCTCTAACCCCAATGGAGAAAATGGGGGGGGGGGGAGTAGTCCACCTAGATATTAACTATTCACCAGTTACTTTGGCAGACAGCAAAGTAAACCACTCACTGAACACTTTGGTTTCTACTGGTTCGAATTGAAACCCTCAAAATCTCATCAGTTACAATCTGTTCAACCACAGGATGAACTAGAGCATTATCTGTAGGCTGAACCGTGCGTAAATACAGTATGCAAAAGTCAACTGATTGAATACAATGTTAGGACAATCAGAAAAAAATTGAGTTTCCTCCCATCCAAGAGAACTCTCGACATACTATTTCCATGTCAGGAACCCACAAATTTCTTTGCGGTTTTACTCTTCACATAACCCTTTTTGGACTGACAAGCAGCACACTGAACTAAAACCCACAAGGCCTAGACATGTTAACATCGCCTACTGGTTAGTCCCTTTTAATTAAGGCAGGCTTAGGCACACAGGCAGCAGCCGTCTCTGTTCTGAATGTCTGTTTCATTTATTTCCGCGCAAAGGTATCAAACAACAGTCAGTTATAATTGATTCTGTCAGGTGTTATACAGTCAGTCATAATTGTCTCTGTGTAGAGGTGTGTCAATTTACTATATCTGAATTAAATATTCTGTCAATTATGAAATCAGGTAATAATTTCAGTCAGTTTTTTAATTGCACGGCTTCCCACTATACAGTTCTCAGCTCCCCTTCCTACCTTTTCTAATCTGTAGTCTCTCTCCCTTGATGCCACATGAGCTTTGTCATAAAGGGAGGGAGGCAGGAAGCTTTAGGGATTTTGCAACAAAACCAAGATACCTCTCTCTATGATTTAGAACCATCCAATCTAGAGAGAGCTCTTGAATCTTCTGGCCTGTCTGGCTTTTCTCCTAAATATCAATCAATAGCCGATGTCGGGCTACACACAGTCTCTGCAAGACCTTAAGTAGCACCCCTATTTCAAAGACAAAGACCCTTTAGGGCCCCAACTCAAATGACAAGGCTAGCCACATTTCTAAATCAAAATAAGAGATAAAATACATCCTTAGATTCAATTCTTATTTAGAAAACCACTCAAAAGGCACAGCACCAGGCACAGAGCCTCTCTGTTACCCAGTACATCACATCTCAGACCTTCACATATTTCTAAGGGCTGAACAGTCTTAGCCCACTAGCTCCTTCCATTCCTACTTAAAATAATGATCTTCAGTTTTCTTTTTCTCTTCTTTTTTGTTGATACCAAAATACAGCCTTCAAACAGAATAAAATCTCCATGGTTTAGCTCAAGTGCTCTACTAGGCTGATCTGACAAAGTATTTAGTGTGATTATAATTCTCGCCACCATTGGGCTGGTTCATGTTCTGTAAACACAGGCCTGCAGCAGCCTGGTGGTGGTGAACAGTGATCCTCCACGCTCTAAGCAAATAGAGGTGGGCAGCAAGGCCCACCTCTGAGGAAGGCACGGTCACTGGAAGTTTGGGAAAGCGCAGAGGGTGATGGGAAAAGGCAGGGGACACAGCTAGCCAGCCAATGCAGAGAAAGCCACATCTATAGCGAAAACCCGAAGGTGAGAGTTATGGCCCTTACCATGTTTCAGTGGAGAGAGAGTCACCTTGAAAGAGATCAAAAATTCCCTTTCAACTGGATGAAGTGATTCTATCAGGGCTGGGTTTTGGGTGTTTGTATTTGTCACGTCGAAAGAAAATTGCCCATGCAGCCCCCTTGCTGAGGATATAAAAAGTACTGTCAACCATACTGGACAGACTTTTTTTTTTTTTTGGGGGGGGGGGAAGGGGGGGTGGAGAAGGGGAAAAACACATTGTGCAGGATCATTAAGCACTGTTGTATAAATAAAGTTAGAAGATCAAACGAAAGAGGGGACTCGGGTTAAATGCTGGAAGACAAGCTTAAATAAAGTTCTAAGAAAAAAGCAAGGCACGCTGTAATTCCAAGAACCTATTACTTCAGACAATTTACTTCAAAAAATAAAATCAGAATGGTAAATGATTACCCAAAAGCAATCATGTCATCATCACTGAGAGATGGAATAAAATAATTTTTTGTGAAGTGGCTGAATGAGAGCAACTTAAAAGCCACGGAGCCTGTCAGAAGCACATTATTTCTTTTTACACCCCGTTTCCCAATTCATCTCAGTGCTGCTGACTAACCTCGGCTCCCAGCAGGTGGAGCATTTAAAATAAATAGCATTTCCTA